CAGGGTGTTGCTATGAAATCTATGTGAAAGCTTCGATGAGAAAGGAAGCTAAGGCTGCATGAAAAAGCTCATGAGTCTCGTCTTTGTATGCTTTCTTTAAATTAGATTCTCTCTTTTTTCTTACACAATTTCACCAATAATGTTTGTTTACTCAAATGCTCATGGAATCTAATAAAGTCGACAAAAAGAAAAAGACATTGTCGAGGGAAACCAAAATACAGGGTTTGTCTGTTTTTTTTTTGCCATTTTGTGAATTTTTTTTTTCTTTTCCTTATTTCTACTATATGCTGTTTTTCTTCACTCTTAATTCAAAAACAGAAGTCTTTCGATCCAAACCGGTGTAAACCGGATATATCAAACCGACATCTAGAATTGACACCGTTAGTCCACACGTTCCTCACAAATCATTAATCATGCAAGATTAAATTAATAGCTACACTAATAAGAAACAAGTAGAAAGAGCTTTCATGCTCCGATTTGATAATATTGGTTTACCAAATCTATAATATAAAATGTTAGAATATTAGTTGAACCACCTTGAGGAACGTATAACAAAGAAGACCAACAAATTAAGTTACTTTTTGCTTGATTTGCACATATTTATGTTTGAAAGCTACAAGTCAGATATCTTCTATATTTTCTACATTTGTACTCATAGTTGGATATGTTGTCGAAACTTTATCAATTTATGATATTGATAGGTATGCAATTTCGTAAAAGACTCGCACATTTTACAATGGTTAACCATAACCCATGAGTTAAGTAGTTAATTTGACTCAGATCTTATAACAATTCGATTAAAAGTATATCTTTTAACTACAGTATTAGACCATCTACAACCCAAAACTTCATTTTTACTCCAAAATAAAATAACTCTAAAATGGAGTTGTGTTTTACTCCAACCCTACTCTATTTTAAAATAAACAATGTAGTGAATAACAAAAAAAATGGAATGATAAATGAAGTTACTCCATATTTAGAGTAAAACTACTTTTTACTCTATTTTTTGAGGAGGAATAAATTTGACTGCAAATTCCATTTTATAGTAAAAAATTAGTATATCACAATTTATATGATCACCGTTACATCTCATGCTTTGAAATGTGTAATACTCCCTCGAAATCTTTAATATTTTGGAATTTGAAAATTGGAAATGTACAATGTACTAGTATCT